AAAATTACATATTAAAAAAATTGAAATTAGATATACCATAACAAAACATCACCCAAAAATAGGTGTGCTGACAAGGAAAAGAACTGTTGATAGTAAAAGATAATTCTTTTTTTAAAAAAAAATTGTTTTTATCAATCTTAAAATTTTAACTTAAAATCTCAAATTCTTATTAATTAAAACATTAAGGCTTAATTTTATCTTTTATTATTGAATTGGAACTAAAGGTTCAAAATTACTTACTATAGCTACAAGAATCTTGACATGATTTTTTTATTTTTATTTTTTTGTGCTTATGATTGATTGATAAATCATTCTTGTATAACCTAAAGGTTAGATTCAAGGAAACAGTAGTTTAAAAGTGTTAAAAAACTGATCCAAATCAGACACCCTAACCATCCAAATAAGAAAATCATTGTTGTATTACTGTTCAGCTAGCCTTCACAAATAAAATGAGCACGTAGTATTATTATCTAGCTAGCCCTAAGCTGAGATCTCCTGGGCTGCCTCAACATGGATTAATTACTAACGTAATTTATCTGTCTCTTTGAAAATTAAATCCATTTGTGGGTTAGTCATTGCGTCAACATTGATCTCAGTCAATTGCATCTAAAATAAAATTACACATTCTACAGTCTGCCATCATTGAATGCTAGTCACCAAAGCGCGCACAGATAAATTGCAATATAGGAGGTTGGGTATTAGGTGTCACCAACGGACAGGCTTTTCACAATTCCTTTTAATTTGTTGAATGGCTTTCCAGTTTCCACTTATTACTATGACTTTGTTGTTTTGCAATTCTAATTATAGCACACTATATATAAAATAAAAATTATTAGTAAAAAATAATTTTTAATATTAAGAGATTTACCTTATTAAGTCATACAATTTTAATTATAATTTTTTGTATTACTATACTGATATATATTTATTTTTTTAAAAAAATTCTTTATCAACCTATACAAAAATAATACAATATCTATTTTCTATGTAAAGGGGAGTTAACTGCTTAATGTTAATCAAATCTTTCAAAAAAATTTATACAAACCTCAAAAATCTTGTATTTACATATTTTGATTAAGAAGATAATGCATGCATTCACCTTCCTAATACAAATCCCAATTGGATAGTTCTCTCCTTCTCAGATTCCTCTTCACCTATCTTGATTAGAACTTAAGGTTTCTAATGTAATGTAAAGGTTAAAACTCTTAACTACTAGGATATTTCCTAAAGGATTATTATTCTTATTATTATTTTATCTTTGTTATTAAAAATATAGTATGTCTTTCATCAAAAGACGACTAAGCACATTTTTTACCTATTATGCCACTATCACTTTGGTTGGGAGTTGGAATTAAATCTAGCTTGCCATGTAATGCAAAGATATACTAAAAATAAATAAGCACAACCAAAATAAAGGCGTACCCGGTAAACTTGGGATATCCCATTTTTCACATTTGAAAATACACCAAAATAGGGCTAGAGAGATTCAAAGATGCTTTTAGGACATGTTGGCTTTGAAATTAGATCCCTAGTCTTCATCATCTTAAGAGAATGCTAATAAGTTGAACAAGCAAGTGGCTTTCTTTTAAGTGATATTGAAAGATAATAAAATATGTAATGTGACTTAACTATAAAGATGGTTATTTTATTTATTGTCAATTAATTTAAAATTAAATGTAAATTTTGTAATATCAAGTTATTACATTTGCAAGATAGACTCAAAATACTTGAAGGGAAAAAGCATATACAAGGCTATATAATTTTATATTTTTTTATAGATTATAATAATTATCATTAAAAAACTAATATAGTTTTTTCATTTAACAACCAAGGTGTACCAAAGCTAGTTTACAAGCGCCATAAAATTAATCTCTCACTAGTCTAGTTGAAAGTAGGCCATTTACATTAAAAATACTAATATAATTTTCTAATGGGTGCTACTTTAGCTGATAAGAAGATTTGTTTCTTATTTTATTGATTAGGGGTTTGTTTGTTTTGTGAGAAATGAATGAGACATCAGACATGAGGGGAAATTAAAGGAAAACAATATCCTTTAATGTCTCATAAAGAATGTCCTACTTCTTAAGAGTTGGAACCTCTATATTAAAGGTTTGAAATTCAAATTTTGAGATGGATGGTGAGAGAATTAGGAAAGAGAGGACTATTT